TTACATGTGGGTGACTTTATAGTAGAGGACATATTAGGATTTTTTTTTCCTCATGATAAGTTCAGACAAAACAAGACGATTTTACCCATGACCGAGATATCTGGAGTTGAAAATTTGAAATCTACTAGAAAAATTCTAAACAATGGCAAATGGCTTTTTTTTTCTTTTTTTAATAATAAGTTCAGACAGAAACAAGAGTTTCTTTTATGACACTCTTCTCGCATTTCACCCATAACCGAGATAATACGTGGTTGATAGCACCAACCGAACCTACCTAACCTTACCTAACTTCCTAACCAGAGGGCTCCACTCCCTAGCATGTTAAATATATAGGTTCTAGGTCGTTTATGAGGGAAACGTCATAAAAATAAAGTGTCTTAGAATTGTCTAAACTATTTTTGCGAAGAAACAATTCTGAGATTCGGTTGGTTGCAACAAATGCAATATTAATTTTCTGATTGTCAAAAACCGATACCTCGGTTATAGGTAATATGCACCAAAAGTGTCATAGATGAAAATCGTCTTGTTTTGGTCTGAACTTATTATAATAAACAAAACAAAAATATCGAATTACTATTTTTATAACCAATTTCCCGTTATCGCACAAAAAGAATCTTTGCCGTGGTGTTGTAGTGGATTTCTCCCCTACAAACGCTGTTTGTCGCTGAGTAGCCGACCCCACCAATTCCCCAGTGTATGCCTCGTGGTCTAGATCAACCAGCGCCGCCATACATTACGGAGCGGGGGTCAACTACTAAGCCACGCCTACCCCCGCTATTTAAGACCTGACCTCGTGGTGACCTGTCTTTTTCTACCTCCACCAACCAGCCAGCAACACCTCCTCCTCCTCCGCCTGCCTGGCGGTCCTCGCTCCCGCCGGCGACCCACAAGCTGGTCCTCCTCTGAGCATCCTCACCAACCAGCTCTCTCTACATCACGCTTGTAACCATGCTGCCTTCCCAGCACCAAGCTGCATTGTACATCCAATACAACATGTATATAGAGAGCACATTGTGAGTTTCCTTTCTCCATCCCATCCTGAGTGTGAACACAAATATCTCATACCCCACAAATGGTGACCCCCAGAGATTCGCACTCACACAGGATGGAGGAGAAACAGATCACTCTCCCAGTCTTCAAGCAACATGGAAGACTGGCTTATCCACCCAGAGGCAGCTCTCATCGGCTCTACAGCTACTGTCTCTACACCGCAGGTTAGACACCCTAGAGCAGCTCTGTGACTCTAAGCAGACAGCCGTTCCTCTTCCTGCCCCAAGCACCACGTCCTACCGACCCCAGCACACCCGTCCTGCCTCAGACGCCGCCCCGACCCAGCAGTACTCCCTGCCGCTTCTCCTGACGCGGCCCCTGCTTCTGAGTGCAGACCCACACACCCCTCTTTTCTCCCTCAGGTACTCCCTGCTGCTGTCGTGGACCCAGCTGCTGTCACGAGCCCTCATCCGCTTCTGCTGACGCAGCCCTTGCTCCTGACCCAGGCCCACACACCCCAGCAGGCACATCTGATGATTCTGTACCTGCCGTGAGGGAAGAACAAAATTCATCGCCTCCACACACCCTTTTTCTCCCTCTCTACTCCCACAGATATTGTGTATCTAGACAGTTGTGTCCAGCGACCGGCTTATCCACGCCATCGCCGTTGTCTCACATGAGGCACGCACCGCCCGTTCTGCCTCACGTGCTATGCAACCCTGCAGACAACAAGTCTCCTACACCGCCTGGAGGGAAGGGGGAGTATTGTAGTGGATTTCTCCCCTACAAACGCTGTTTGTCGCTGAGTAGCCGACACCACCAATTCCCCAGTGTATGCCTCTTGGTCTAGGTCAACCAGCGCCGCCATACATCATGGAGCGGGGGTCAACTACTAAGCCACGCCTACCCCCCGCTATTTAAGACCTGACCTCGTGGTGACCTGTCTTTTTCTACCTCCACCAACCAGCCAGCAACACCTCCTCCTCCTCCGCCTGCCTGGTGGTCCTCGCTCCTCCTCCGCCTGCCTGGTGGTCCTCGCTCCCGCCGGCGAGCATGGCGACCCCACAAGCTGTCCTCCTCTGAGCACCCTCACCAACCAGCTCTCTCTACATCACGCTTGTAACCATGCTGCCTTCCCAGCACCAAGCTGCATTGTACATCCAATACAACATGTATACAGAGAGCACATTGTGAGTTTCCTTTCTCCACCCCATCCTGAGTGTGAACCAAACAACCCATACCCCACAGTGTCATCTTCACCCCAACCAGTACCTGTATATGTATAACTTTAAGCGAGGTTACAGAACAGTACCTGCAAGTTATAAATGCCTGAGGATTAGATAAATTAAGTAACTTACTGTATATTGTACTGAGAATCAACATCTATTATATGAATAGTTACTGTAGTTACTCCTCTCAAATATACTGACAGGAAGCCCGTGGTAACATACTGCTATAAATCGTGAGCCACTCTATTGATGCCTGGGAAAAATACCAAATATTTACTTTGTTGTTGTTAGGAATGGACTCCATGGAAACGGGTCAGAGACAGCGGGGTCATAGTTATTTATATTAAATGTTCGGTAAACACTAAGATTATGAGTGAATTCAGTTATCGCTGGTGATTTATAAATTAAGTTATCTTCTACATAAACACTTTTATATTGTTAATAAACACAATTTCAACGTACCAGCTTGTATTAGACAGTGCCTTCCAAAAATTATGAGCGGCCACCCCATTTCCATATTCAACTAACGGTAGGTACTCCTCCCTCTATTTCTACAAAGGAATATAAAGGATGGAAATTGATCTCCTTAATATTTATTATTTTCTTCTTGGTTGGTCTTCGATTGGAGTAAGGAATCTATATATCTTCCTTGGATTGGAGTGCGACATTATAAAAAACGTTTTGGTATTACATGGGCAACTATTTAAAAAAAATCGTCAAAATCACTTATGTTTTAATCATATTTGTATATTTATTTATGCTTTATCTTGTATTTAAATATTTCATTTATGTTTTTCATTTTCATTTTCTTTCACACTCACTAATTGAGATTAAATTAAATTGAAGATGGTAGTTACACAGATTCTGACCAGGATAAAGCTGAGGCATTGAACAGCTTCTTTTCCTCAATGTTCACAAGAGAGGATGCGAACAATCTTCCTGTGTTTGTTGACAGGGTGTACGACACAGCACTGACCCACACTGAGTTCACAGAAGAGATTATAAGAAATAGACTGTCAAAGATAAAAGTTCATAAGAGTCCCGGCCCTGACATGGTGCATCCCAGAGTGCTAAGAGAGTTAGTTGTGCAACGAGCTTGCCGAGCCCCTGAAGATCCTGTTCTGTAAATTCCTGGATGAACAAAAGGTCCACAGTGATTGAAAAAATGGCTTATGTGAGTCCTATCTTCAATAGGGGCGATTTTCACTCTACGAACATCTATAGACCGGTGAACCTAACCGGCATAGTATGTACAGTACTTGAGAGTATTATCAGAGATGCCGCGATGGAACATCTACGAAACAACCTTGTAAAAGATTGCCGGGGAACTCGTGTTTAACACAATTTCTCAAGGTATTGGATATTTGGACCCATATTCTGGAACGGGGTGGTAATATCGACAATATATACCTAGATTTTGCCAAGGCTTTCGACAGTGTACCCCACGAAAGGCTGAAATCAAACTGGAAGGGTACGGAATTCAGGGAAATGTCCGAGCGTGAATAGGAGACTTTCTACATGAACGCAAGCAGTGTGTGGTGATTATAAATGCCACGAAGTGTGAGAGGATGCACCTGGAGCGTACCAACGGTAAGGAGGCGTATCATATGTCCCAACGGTATGAAGAAACTGCACTATTTGAGACTGAATGTGAGAAGGACCTAGGTGTGTATGTTGACAATGAGCTGAAGTTCTCGGACCATTGCGAGAAGAAGGTAAATCAGGCAAATAAAATATTAGGTCTTATAAGGTCGTTCAGATATCTAGACGGTCCGTCCATCGTAACGATCTTCAAGAGTAAAGTGCTTCTCCATCTGCAAAGACTGGAAAGGCACTACTGCCAGCTGAAACCAAGTCGTGTTATAGGTGCCAGAGAGACTTTAAATTTTATTTTGTTTGTGTGCTTTCTCATGGACTAAAACTGTGTCTACAATACACCAATCACAGGGAGATACAGTGTACACAGTGATAGCACAAAGAGATATAGTAGTCGATGAGAACAGGAAAAGAAAGTATAAGGAAATACGAGTTAAAAAAAAACAAAAAACAGGCCATATTATGATATACAGTATTGTTTAACATGATCTATATAGTGGGTGAGCCACAACACCTTATGAACCATTAACAGTGTGTGAGGAACCTGTGTCTGCAGTCATGAATGAGAGGAACACCCTGGAGGAGCTTCTGAAGGGTTACAGCGTCAGGTGGAGGAATAATACAGTAAACTCTAAATGAACCTGAACACTTAATGAACTCGAGAATATTGTGTTTTATTTGTTGTTACTTTGGCTAGGCACAGTATGATGATCCTTATATAATGCTCGTGTATATGGTTAAGTTGATATGTGCTGCTGTATTATAGTTATAAATTTATAATGTTAGTATAATACCTATAATGATATAATAAACGTAATATTCCACATGTTTTAGGGAGGGGTTGTCCTACACTCTGTCAAAACTTACCCCAGCAACAATCAGCTTATCTCAGAGTTTTGCTGTAACTTAGAATATAATGTATTGCCATTAACATGTAAGGTAATACAGTATATTTTATAAGTAAAGATGTTAAAGCTTCGTATCGCTTCGGCCCCATGGCTGCTACACTACCTTATAGTGTCAGCCCGGGTCCCACTTATTGATGAACCAAGTTGGTGAAATTAAAGAAAATTGTTGTTATTTATATTCGGGAAAATGTATTTTAATAGAGCAAAGGAAAGATCGGCAATATAAGTTAATTAAACTAAATCATCATATTAACAGGAACAGATAATAACACATAAGTTGTTGAATCTAGTTTATTAATCTCAGAAGTTAACATCCAGATTTAATAATAAATGAATTTATGAAGTCCACATCAAATAAAACATGGTGAAAATAATCAACTTCTTTTGTGAACGTAAAGTACGTGTAAGGGCTGTGTGTCTACCAGGTAAACGCCCGTCTTCACTAACTCAAGTTCATTAGTCATACTCACACAACCCGCTGCTGGCAGTTATCCCGTGATAGGGTCTAACCCAGCCACTGATTTTAAGAAGACCAACGAGTTATCCACCTTGGGTCATCACTAGCTCCTTTAGTCATACAAAGTAGGTTAATAGGTAGGCTACTCTACGGTTTAGGCCTAGTCATCATTTAAGACTTTTAATATACAGGTACTGTTCTGTACTATACTGTACAGTCCTGTACTATACTGTACAGTCCTGTACTATACTGTACAGTCACTCCGAAAGGTATCTTTATGGTGGACTCCGATGAATTTCAAAATGAACGCTGCGACTCTGTTGTCTCGGTAGAGTTGTCAAAATCCTTCATCGGTTGTGTCATATTGTCTCAAACAAAACCGTAAAGATACTTTTTGGAGGGACTGTACACCTCAACCTTAAATGTATCAGTTACGTTATTCAGGTGTTGGCCAGAATGTAATCAACAACACACATTATACTGTAGGAGGTTGTCATCACCTTGACTGTCGTCACTGTGTCGTTTATTAATCACTATGTCATCATTTTATCCCAGTATGTCTTCATACATTTCGCCAGTCATCCATCACAAAACTCGGCCATTTGCTAAATTGTGACCTTCCTCAACAACTGCAGGTGACCTGTGGGGGGTAGAGCTTGTAGAGATGGTAGCTAGTCAGACAACTCACGGAAGAGTGACAAGACTCTGTCGAAAAATTTCTGTGCTGTGTCTCTTGTCATGGTATGTGTTGAATACCAGGCGCTGAACCTAACTTTATTACGTAAGTTGGCCAGGCCACTCATAATTGCGACTTCGCTTTTGCCTATGGGAACTATGTTTTGCATAGAAGTAATCTGTATGTGCTTACCTATTCCCATATTTGAAAATTTAGGTGAAAAAACGTTAGTCAACGAGTAATTGTAAAATTGAGGTGGTGGGTTGGCAAAGTTCTTCTCGTGAGAATAGCCATCTGGACGGAGCATTTGACTAAGGACAAAATCTTCAAAAATGTAGTTATTCTCTAGTTTTGTGCGGAAATCAACATCGAACTGTTTTGCATAATCCCAGAAAGTATCTCGGACATTACCGGGGACTGTCATACTATGCATCATGGGGAACGAGTGGTTACCCATCGGGAAGGCCTTGTGACCCTTCAAGTAGCGGCGGAGGTCAACGGCATGTCGGTTAGTGAGAGTGTACTCTTCCCTGTGTACCCCAGCCTCCTTCACCAGACCTATTAAGGCCGTGTTCATCAAAGCCACGAAACCAGAGTTAAAGGTGACGCCAGCAGAGCGACACCTTTTATTAAACTTCTCAAACATTGTCATATCCAACAAAGTTTTTCCTAAATATTCTGTTTGTGGATGAGGGACGTCCTGGACTCCAAAAGCTTCAAGGATAAGAGGCGTGACACTTTGTTTCTTTCGTTCTTCAAGCAATAACTTCAACCTCTCAGGATCCTTTTCCAAATCTTGTTTAACCTGCTGTTCAATGGCTACAACCTGACTGTGATCAACAAGCTGTCCCAGCTGTTTATTATCATCAATGGGCTTCCCGCTAATGATGTCCTCCAGCAGCTTGGCGAGCCAGTCGGTAATCGTAAACATGTCAACACCATCTACTGCCGCGTGATGGAATTCCAGCAGCAGTCTATTTTGATGGGGGAACTCCTCCTGCAGCTCTGGCCAAGTACTGTGGTCGTCTCCACCACCAGGCAGGAGGCGAGCTTTCCACAGAGGTCCATCGGCCAAGTTGAAGGGCGTGTCAATCATCCTCTGCATCTCATTTTGTTCATCTGGTCCATTAACGACCTGAAGGATGAGTTTATTTAGTCTGTTAATCCAGAGGATTAAGGCAATTAATTCTGAGTCAATTAACCCAGGTAAGATATTTCTTGTGACGAAAATTACCTGATTTTATGAAGAGGACACTAGTAGTTAACTATCGCTGGATAGTTATGAGACTAAACTGTGCTGGTTTGATAGTATTTGTAGACTGTAGATGTATTATGTGTGTTGGTAGGGAGCTGGATACAGAGGTATTGGTATAATGTGGGTAGGCAGCTACCAAACAGGGAGGTACTACCGCCTGGGAAGATATTAGAAGCATAATGTGTTGTCTAATGGTAGACCCTGCTGCCATATGGCATCACAAAAATGGTGACCAAGTCCCAGGTTGCTGATCTGACTTTCTGCCTCATTTACATACAATTGCAGGGTCTCAATTGTTTCTCTTACCATTGACAACACAACATACATATTTTGTTTCTCACTATTGATCTTTTTTATTGTTGTATCTAATAATGGTCCTTAATTATTATTATTATTATTATTATTATTATTATTATTATTATTATTATTATTATATTTGTATTATTTGCTATAATTTTTTATTAATTTTTATTAATTATTAATATTATAATTATTATAATCATGATTGCTATGACTATTATTACTATTACTACATTTTCGCCCCCCAGGCCCTGATGTGGCTCATTGACCTGTGCCCGGGTGCGCTAATCCCGTAAAAACAACAACAGCAACAACAACACTGTGTTAGCACTGTTCGTAGTTAATGGATTACACCTGCGTTAGTAGTTAGTACTGTTGTTATTAGCCTACACTAGAGCCAGTTATTTAGTCAACATAGTTATGGTACAGTACAAGTTTGATATCTACCTTGAAGTCGATGACCGACTCAGGCATACGACAGTACCACAGTTGGTTGTCTCTCGTACGGAAGCAGGTCCTCAGCAGCTCCACCTTGCTGGAAACAATATTATTTATACTCTTCACAGACTACACCTTTCTGGAAGACTTGCCTCGCTATTAATCAGGTGAAACACTTATAAAATGTTGAGTTAGGTTAGTTAAGCTTATAGGTTAGGAAGTAGATACAGGTTATAGGTATAGAGTTATTGGGTGAGGTTAGGTTAGGTACAGGTTACAGATATGGAGTGTGGGTGAGGTACTATCCAAATATTGATAATACCGGAAAAACAAGATTTGATCTCCTTCATGTCTTATCGCCAACGTTTCACTGCCCGAAGGAATTCCCGACTCAGGGGTTGGCCACGACAGACAAGCTTCCTCGCCGTCTCCTCCCTTGATCCCTCACTATGTTGCTCCAACTTTCTCTCCCATTATGTATAAAAGGAAGGACCAGAGAGTTAAAGGATAATTATAGAATCGGGTGAGAGAAGGAAATATTGTTACCCAAAATTAAACCCATCCTAGGAGGCACTCTCTGCCGTCAGTTTGTGGATCATATAGTAGCACCGATTGGGAAACGTTAATGCTCTAATCTTTGGTATTAACAAGAAAAAAGGTCTATTAGAAATATAAACTAAATCTTGGATATAAATGGCTATAAACAGCTAATTAATTCATCAACCCGGATAACAAAGTCCTCAGTCAGGCTGGGGTCATTCCTGTGACCACTATATCACCTAGTGCAGCAGGACAACAGTCAGGGCAAAGATAGGACAACACAAGGTAACCAAACTACGGTCAATGAATAATTACAATAAAGGTATACAACGTGGTAAAACTAAGTCAGTTCGACTAAAGATTGCCAACACAGTCATCATGTGCCGTAGGGTCCTTACTGACGTAGTTTATGACAAGATGTAAGTGAGCTCTTACTTGTTAAGATGGGTGAAGGCTTTTAAGAAATCTTCAGTGTGTAGACGGTGGTCGGAGTTGTAGGTGATGATAATACCGTTGTTCATAGACTTGTACTTGACCTGGGCAGCCAGACTCTCCGTCCTGTCGTCTGCAGGGTGTAGCCAGGCTCCCTCCTTCACTGTCCTGCAAACAGTTCATCTTAGCAGTCGACTTGACCCACACACTGTTCGTGTTCTGGGTAATAAGTTCAATGTACAGGAGCGAACACAAACACCTGTATAGATTTTGTAGGTTCGATTTACTGGATAAGAGATATGTACACAAGGAGAGTAGCGCTCTTCAACCTGTCCGCTGGTCAACTGCTCTATAGACGACGTATGGCAAGTGATACATTAGCAGCTTCCATACGTCGCCAGGCACATTAATTAAGCATGTGGGACATTGATAAATACATTGCCACACGCTACTAGCTAGGCTAAATAAATAATACATAAATGGAGCACATACATAATATACATAGCATAATATAAATACAGCATACAGAATATACATACACACCAGAGTTGTTCTAAAAGCCTTACAACTCGTATAGTGATGTTATAATTCGATACTGAAAGCAGCAATTGATGCCTAATTCTATGTACTTAATACTATCTTTATATCATTACTGTTTGATGGACTTATCAGAAATGTTGAGCAAATTTGGCAATCATTGATATTTCCAAAGAAAATGCACAACCAAGGAAGTCCATGGACACATGGTGTTTGTGTTAGAGGAAGCTGGTCCTCTTAGCTCCTGATGACGCGCCAGGGGATGGAGGTTTAACAGGTAATGAAACGATTGAAGATTCTGCATTATTAGTAATGACTTGACAGTTTAAACTTTTTTTATAAACTCTGCGAATAAATTCTCAATTAGAATTTTAAATTTTAAGTAACCAGTTTCAAAGAAGTGCAGAATAATATGCCATGTACAGTACGTGTGGCAAGAAACCCTGTACACTATCACATGTAATATGAGGAATTGGAATCTTGAAACCTGAATCATCATTATCAATGTGACAATAAAATATCTGAAAATTTGACTAAAAATTTCTTCAGAGTATTTAACATTTGTAAAACTAAATGTAAGAATATTGGGATATGACCAGTTAATTACAATCAAACGTCGGGACATACGAGCATCTTGAACCTAAATAATAATGAAGACTTACGTGGTGTGGGACAGATGTGTGTGTGAGTGGAGGGGAGGAAAGGCGGGGCTTGATAGCCGGGAAGTGGACGTGGACTTCAGCCCTCGCTGACGAAGGCTTCCCATTTTCCTCCAGGAAGCCGCCCCTCGTAGGTGAAGTACCCCTGACATGTTGAACACACTCGCCTCCCCTGATTCACAATGTCCTCACCTAAGATATAACATAAACACTACATATTTTGTATACGTCTTACATTACTGAACACTACACTACTTTAGATATTCTTGCATTTAAAGGTATGAAATGTTGTATCTAGACATGAGAAAGACCATTCGTTCGTTAAACCTTCTATCTCACACTGACTAAATGTTTTATTACGCTTGGCTTCACTAACCTGTCGTGAGGCGAGCGTTAGTAGTGTTGCCAATTTATTATATGCCTTTGTAGGGGTATCGAGATATTAATGTTGTCTAGCACCAGGGCCGGTGCTAGGAATTGCG